TCCTTGGACCCATATTGTTCAACATCTTCATTAATGATGTGGACATTGGAGTCAGAAGTGGACTGGCCAAGTTCGCCAATGATACCAAACTTTGGGGCAAAGCATCCACACCAGAAGACGGGGGCAATCCAGGCTTACCTGGACAGGCTCAGCAAATGGGTGGACGAGAACCTGATGGTGTTTAACACTGAAAAATGCAAGGTTCTTCACCTTGGGAGGAAAAACCTGCAGCATCCTTACAGGCTCAGCACTGCTACGCTGGCTAGCACTATGGAACAAAGAGACTTGGGGGTCATCAATGACCACAAGATGAACATGAGCCTTCAATGCGATGCTGCAGCTAGTAAAGCGACCAAAACGCTGGCTTGCATCCATAGATGCTTCTCAAGCAAATCCCGGGACGTCATTCTCCCCTTATACTCAGCCTTGCTGAGGCTGCAGCTGGAGTACGGCATCCAGTTTTGGGCCCCACAATTCAAAAAAGGATGTGGAGAAGCTTGAGAGAGTCCGGAGAAGAGCCACACATGATCAGAGGTCAGGAAAACAGACCTTATGACGACAGGCTGAGAGGTATGGGACTCTTCAGCCTGGAAAAGCGCAGGCTCAGGGGTGATCTGGTGGCCACCTATAAATTTATCAGGGGTGACCACCAGGATCTGGGGGAACGTTTGTTCACCAGAGCGCCCCAAGGGATGACTAGGTCAAATGGTTATAAACTACTGCAAGACCGTTTCAGGCTGGACATAAGGAAGAAATTCTTTACTGTCCGAGCCCCCAAGGTCTGGAATAGCCTGCCATTGGAGGTGGTTCAAGCACCTACATTGAGCACCTTCAAGAAAAAATTGGATGCTTATCTTGCTGGGATCCTATGACCCCAGCTGACTTCCTGCCTTCGGGCGGGGGGCCGGACTCAATGATCTTCCGAGGTCCCTTCCATCCCTAATGTCTATGAAATCCTATGAATGAGGCAGGGTTCTCCCCAGTGAACCTCTACCCACATCTCTCCTCCCACCAGGATTTATTTGCTCAGCTCTAGCAGCAGCAAACACTGATAAAAGCAGCTGCACCCAGAGCAGCTTGTGGGATGGGGGTGGAGAGTGCTGGCTGGGAGGGAGAGCAAGGGGCCAGGGTGCAAAAAATAGACCAGTGCAGGGGAAGGGGAGAGTGAAGAGAGCAGCCCCAGCATTGGGGCCAGTGGCTGGGTTTTCCCATCCCCGGGGCTGCGCAGGGGAAGTGGACAGAAGTTCCATGCACTGATTTGACCTAAATTGAATGAGTCTGATACTGTGTAGATCCAGGTTTATCTTAAACTAGGTTCTGCAATTTTTAAGCTGGTTTGTGTGCATGGAACTTCTGTTCAGTTACAGGTTTAGACTGATTGCTGGTCACTGACAGGGTGTGTAAGTGTAAGGTAGGCACTGGGACAAGCTAAGTTTAAATCAGGTGGCCATTTTGCACCTGATTTAACCTCCTGAATGTCTGTAGTTAGCCTTTGTGTTTGTGTAATTAAGGTTGAGTTTGACTTTAAAATACTGTAATAGCAGAATCAAAGTTAATCCCTTTATGAATAGTATCGCGAAGCAACTCAGTTTATCATGAGATTTATTTATGTATTTATTTAGTTATTTATTAATGAAATAATTTCTCTTCTTTCCTTTGCTCTACCATAGGAGTAACCTGGAGAAGCTGCACCACGGTCTGGAACTAGCCAAAAAGCAGTTACGTGCCATTCAGCAGACTGTGGCCAGCTGTATCTGCACCAATCTTGTAATATCTCAAGGGCCTTTTCTCTATTGCTGTCTCATGGAGGTCAGAATTTTGTTGGTTCTATATTGGGCTTCTTGTTTAGTAAAACTGTGATTCCTAAGTGGCAAGCTGTTAAGAACATTTGACTAGAAAGTCTGAAATAATGTAGTTTTCTGTATTGCATTGGCTGGCCTACATCTTCCCCTGAATGTTCCCCTTCGTAAAAATTGGTAGTTTGGGGGGTTCTGGTTTAACATGCAAATCAGCACGGTGATTAACCCTTCTAGGGTGCATCTACACATGCAAGTAATCCAGGAGCAGTTTCTAGAGGAAAGTACTCTAGAGTAAACTCTCCCGGGCATGCATCTACTTGTGCAGTAATGTTGGAGCAAACTTGCTGCTCCAGCAGCAGACTGCTTCCATTGCCTGTGGCCCTACACCAGGCCCCTGCAGCAGCCAGGGGAAGCTCTAGGTTCCCCCTGGGTGCTACCCACTGGCAGGTAGTACCAGGCCAGGAGACAGCTGTCTCCTGGCCGGGGCTGAGGCATCGTCCCCACCCAGGCTCTGGTGGTGGAGCCTGCCTCAGCAGGAGCCAGATCCGAGGAGCAGGGAGCAATGTCCCCCTGACCCCAGCAGCAGGGAGTTCCCAGCCCCCACTTCGTAATCTCAGGGTCAGGGCTGGGAGATAAGGATTTCTCAGCCCCCGTTCCCTAATCGTGAAGTGGGGGCCAGGAGCTCCCTGCTGCCAGGGTAGGGGGACTTAGTCCCCGCCTGGACTCCAGTGGCGGAGCCCACCCTGGCAGCAGGCAGCTCCCCAGGACAGGGAGCAATCTCCCACCCCCTTTTGTTAGGCTGACCAGGAGCACATTTGCTCCTAGTCAGGTGTCTACATGTGCACTACTACGCAGTAACTAATAAAAAGTAAATTTGCTACTTGCCTTTGCAGGTAGTAAATTTACTCATGATTAGAACAATTTACTGTGCAGTTAGCATCTGCATGTGTAGATGCGAACGCTTACTGCACAGTAAAGTATCTCGTGTAGACATGCCCTTAGAGTCCTACCTTGTGTAGTTTAGGCAAGGTTCCTTAATCTTCCCATTTTATATGAAAACAAATGGGGCTCATTTAATGGAAATGTTCCTAGAGTGACATGCAGCTTTTAAAACTGCTGGTCATTCTAAAGATGAAATAGAGCAGAGATAGCAATATCCTTAGGTGTAACTTAGTTAATAACACTTTTTTTTTTCTCCCCCACTTAAGGGCACTCCAGATGTGAAGCTGTTCTCCAGACCAGTATCTTTGTGTCTGCTCAGTAAATACTTACTCAAGTCGTTTGTTTGCTCTGTAAGTTTACAAGCTTGTAATTAGCTAAGTTTTGGACTGAGTACATAGTTACCATTCTTCTGTGGATTATTTATTAAATGGATTATTAAAGTACTCAATTTTTCAAGTGAACTTTTTCAGCTAATGGGCTGTTTAGATAGCCTTTGCACCAGTATACAAATTCTGCCATTGAGAAGATCCCAATCTTGGGATCTGCTGAACTGGAAATAGCTCTTTGTAGATCTTGACCCTTCTGATGCTCTGCAGGATATCACAGTAATTATTAAAACAAACAACTTGCCCTCTGTTGATTAAATAAATGTCTTTTTAGTTGTACCTTATGCATTGCCTGAGGCACACTTGCATCACTTAGCTTTCTCTAACCAAGTGATTCTCAGCTAGGAGACAGTAGCACCCTGGGGTGCCTTAAGGTCCTTTCAAGGGTGCCATGCATCTTTAGCACTCTTAGATATGCGAACATGATTCATTAGATAAACCCAGAGGTTTCAAATAGGAATCCATCATGTTACAAACATTCTAACCTGTTGTGGTCTTTCTGAGTTCTTTGCACCAGAAAAACTGGTCTATTATTTTTCTGTAGTCAAAAAAGAGTGAAAACTAAGAGCTGGAATTTTTCAAGGCATGCCTTGAGTCCAGTGAGGAGTGCCTCGAGTCTAAAAAGCTTGAGAACCACTGGTCTAACCGAAAGACTTTCTGCCTTCTAGACGAAAAATAAACGCTGTAAATTGCTGCCATTGATAGTGGCAGCACCCATGGATGTTGAGCAGGGAACAGTGATCATGGTGGGGATTCCTCCAGAGACAGAAAGCTCTGACAAAAAGAAGTAAGTTTTTTTGCTATGTCTCTTCCCTCAAGAGCATTTGTAGACTTAACCTGCTTCTATGTAAGCATATTTGAGCTAGAACTGTTAGTTTGATGCTAAATATGTTTATCTTAATGATGGTTTAATGACTAACTGTACATCCTTAAAAGATTGCTTGCTATAGGCATCTAACTTTTTGAATGAAAGGTGACACAGTCAGGTGTTACTTAGTTGTTACAAATTTGTTTTCTGACTCTTTTGTTCACTTACATTGAACAACACATTCTTTTTATAATATATAAATACCAGTCATCATCATGATGAAGATTAGAAGTAGCAAATATTTTTGTGCTGTTTAAGGCTTAATTTTTTTTCTGACTGTAAACTGTGTTTCAGGTGCTTGCTTAGTAGGCCATTTGCCATTGACAAACTTAAGAAAAATATCCACATTAGAATAAGCAAGAGTTATAATCACGTATTGTTTTTATAATTTAAAGGAAAAGTCTCACTGGGTTTTCGTGGGGATAAAGCAAGCAGTGTTGCTTTTGCTGACTGGAGCCTGTATACTATGGCTGCATGCTTATAGGAGATTGTATCTCTTGAACCAGGCATGTTGCTGGTGAAGGAAAAAAGATATTTTTATCTTGTATGTCTCATTTGAGAAGTTAATAAATGCTATTTTAATTTAATGGTGTTGGTTGTAGCTATGTTGGTCTAAGGACATAGGCAAGAACCGTGTCTGTTAATTTAGCAACCTATATATTTCCTAATGTGTAGTGGGTGTGGTTTTTTCTCTTAGCTTTTTTGGCAGAGCGTTTGAGAAGGCTGCAGAGAGCACACATTCTAGGACTTTACACAACCATTTTGACATGTCTAGTAAGTCATTTTACCTTTTGTATTCACTTGTGGCATTTTACCAGGATTTCCTTTAGGGGTCACTATTCTCACTGTGTTAGCTACAAATCCCTAAGATATCTTGACCATTTTACAAAATGAATGTTAATATGAGTAGTTTTATTAACATGTGCTCTGAATGCTAGCCCTGGTGGACAGGGTAGTGTGCAAGTGTTCTGTGCAGCACATTTTCTGTAATGTAATACACAATCCAGAATATAGCACTGTGACCATTTTTGTTTTTCATTTGACATCTTGCATCTTTACTTAAAAGTAAAAAAACTACTAGCTGGAATTTTGTAAACCTCTTAATTTTAGAGAGAAATACTTTTAATTGGAAGAGTAGTTTTTTTTTCTACCAAAGCTTCTGGATTTACAATAACCAATTATAATTATGTGCAAGTTTTCTGTAGACTTACGTGCATCAGCGTCTTTACGATTATTTGGTTTATTCAAGTGTGAGATGAAAGTCATACAAAAGGACAGGGATTTAAGATCCTTTTATTCAAAGAACTTGTTTTGAAACCTAAACTTTCCCAGTCTTTGTATGTTTTTCAGACTGAAAATTATGACCTAGTTATGTTAGGTAGTGTATGGAGAAAAACTAGAGTATGTTTCATCCATACACTGATTTAAAAATGGTGGTTGTATTAAATAGTGAGAGCCTGAAACTCCTGATATTCCTTAAATTTTGCTTTAAGGTACAGTCAGATATTTCAATGTTGCCCAGATCTTTTAGTTCTCTCTTTAAATTTGATTGGAATTGTTAAATAATATTTGTAGTGTGTGAGATTTATTGCATCTGGAACTTGTCTGCTGTACTAATAAGAGCTTTAATTTTTTTAGTAATTGAACTGAAAACTGAAGATAGGAGCAAATTTGTGGATGCACTTATTTCTCTCTTGTCTTAATGGTAAGAACACACATAATTGTAGTAGTGTCTCAGTGTACTGGTTCCCAAACTGGTGGTCCATAAGGCCTTTACAAATGGCTTTCAAATTGTCCCAGGAACGTCTCTCACTTCATTCCTTCTTTTAATTTTAAGTTTAATATGGGTGCATAATGATTGATAAAACAAGTACCCTAAATACATGAGATGAAAAAATTATATGTTCTGAAAAGATTTCTTGTGTGGTCACCATCTTGAAACACTTTAGCTATAAATTTTAGGTGAAATGCCTTAAAACAAATAACATTACTTAACTGTTGAATCAACATACAATGTGCCTTTTATAAACACTAACAGAATTTTTATAAACCTGATAGAATAACAACTTGATTTAAAAACAAAAAAACACTACTTTGTAGCTGCAACTTTTATTTTTTCTGAGAGACTTACATAAGCTCTCCCTAGCTGTCAAATATTTTCTTTTGTGGTAGTCTGTGGGCTTTTAATCCGGAAAGGGAACAGGCTACTTCTGTTTTGAAACACCTCCAAAAGATTCAAAATCAAGGTTGATGCTCCGTCCTTGTCTTGTTCCTTTTTTTTATTATTATTATTCATGACAATGTACTTAAGTTCAGGACACAAGCTTGGCCGTAGGGGTTCATTTCCTGCATTGCATATTTGTTATAGCCTTAATATGGTATAAATATAATTAACATTTGTTATGGCCTACCTTGATGGCACATGGGATTTTGTTTGGAATAAAGTTGGGACTCCTTAACTTTAGGTATGTCAATAAACTTTTAGAGCACAACTGCATATGTCCTTGTAGGATATGCTGTTCATAAGTAGACAACATAATCACATAAAACTTTTATTCAGTTTGAGACTTAACATTGAGCATTTGTAATTCATTTTCAGTGTTTTATTTATTTGTTCAATTTTATACAGGTAGTATTTATTTTAGTGCTCAGTTAAGACCTGGTCTACTTAGTCAAACTTGTTTTCTTCTGAAATTTCTTAAGAACTTTCTTATAACTAGTCTGGGTGACGTGGTGGGGTTAAGGCACAGCTAACTCTCAGCCAGTTTGGCCTCCACTGAACAGCACAACAGTGTCAACCTCAAAACATTTAGAAATATCTGGGAAATTGTTCGGGGACATGGAAAATATTGCTGTAGGTATTGGCTGTAAAGTATTGTCATCTAAATTCTCAAATAACCCGTTCCTCTGTTTTGACTACTTTTTTTTATTAAATATTGTTCTTGTATTGATGTATTGTAATTGAGAGAGGATTTTTAGATGTGCTAAATGGCTTTCTAATGCATGTTGAGAAATGATCCTCAGTAGTCACCTGTGAGATAACTGACTCTTCCCCTTTATAGATGTGAAAACTGAGACATGAGATTGAGACTTGTCCAAGGTCACACAGTGATTGATATGAGATTAGATCCCCAGAGGTCTACATGAATTATGTATACTGCTTCATCGAGCACCAGAGACACAGTATATGGTTTTCTGTTCTTTCTTGTTCAAAAGTATGAACCAGTGGGTTACCTGCTGGTATTGTCACTTGTTAGACCATCACCAGTCAATGGTTTTTAAGACCTCTTTTGCTGCCCTGCTGCAGTTCAGTCTGGCTTTGGTTTATCTTCTGCCTTCATTCCATGAAGATGCACTTTGGCTTTGTGAAATAGCCAAAGGACCTAATGGGCAGAATGTCCTGCAGATGTCCCCCATACCTTCAGGGTTCATGGTGTTTATAACTGTAATGCCTTGTCTTGTTGTCTTCCTATATATTTTGGAACAGGCATGGACTCCATTCGTTGTCTCTTAGGTAGACAAAAGATCACCTTAAAAAAATAGCAACCCTCCAACTAAAAAACATACCTTCCTGATAATAAGAGGTAATAGGCACTGCTATTTGGATCCTGTAGTTTCAGGCTTCCGGATTAGTTGGAACAGAACTTCAGTACTTATGAAGTAGGTTTCTGTAACAGTTCTTGATAATTCGGGGCTCTTCTACATGTTTCTGTGCCGATATTGATGTTAATAAGTTTATAATACTGCCATTCAACTGATCTTTTTTTTAAAGTATGTGTGTGTTAAAAAGCTAAGGATAAATTTATCTTGTGTATATTTATAGAGGGAGCTCAGTTGGGTGAGTAGAAGAAAAATGGATCCAGGAATTGGTGTCTCTGCCTAGCAAGTCTGAATAGCACAGGGAAATCTATTAAAGAGAGGGTGTTTGTTACAGAAGTTGGTGGGTTGTTTCTTTTTTTATTTTTAAGGTAGGGGAGGGCTCCAATCAGGTGTTCAGTATATTGAGATTTGATAAACAACCAGAATATAGCTCTTCGTATTTTCACTTCATGGAAGTAATAGTTCTGTGAGGCATGGTTTTAGGATTATAGGTCTCATGCATCCAAATACCGAACAACCAAAAGTACTAAAGGAAAGCACTGCTGGTCTGCACTATTTGTATGTTGTTACAAGCACCTCCTGAAGGAGACTTCCATCCCGATACCATTTCCTTAGTCAGCCATTCTGGTACTGTACTGTCGGTTATAATATGGCTTTGGGAATGGTATTCTAAAAGTTGAGTTGTAATGCTCATGCATAGCTTCTGCAGTATTTGGATATTAATTCAAATTAATTAGTTCAATCTCAGCTGCTTTCCAGGGTAAAGCCCCTCAAGCCAAGCCCTAGATGATTTTAGCCATGTGAAAGCTTTATTGAGCAGCAAAGTAACTAAATTATCTGTCTGATGCTCAACAGTATCAGACATAACTTAAGGGATAAGCATCTAAAAGTAAATTATAAGGATATAGAAAAAGTATCTGATGATAGCTATATTCAGATCATCTAATGCAGTTCTGCATAAAGCTTTTAATTCTTGTATTAAAGCTGCTGGGGTTTTTATTTTTTCTGTGTTTGGGGGTATATTTTAAAGGCTTTTTCTTCTTTCAATGTTTGCTTGGATTCATGTGATTTTTTTTTTTTTAATTTCTTTTCTTGTATATTGAGCATGTAAAGATTTTGTTGTCTATGTTCTGCCATATTTTGTACAGATTTTTTTTATGTAGTTTAATTTGAAATTAATGGGATTTTAGATGTAGCCAGAATAAATTTTTTACTTGTATTTCACATCAAATAAAGTTGTTTTAATACTTCATCTTGTTCTAGCAATTTCATTTACTTGCCAGATTGCAGTAGAATGCTATTACTGAATAAAATTAAGCAACGTATTTTTTTTCTCCTGCATGTTTATTTTTATTATTCAAAATGATCTATTAGTATAGCCTTTATCAGCATACTTTTGGTTATGTCTCTAGTGTAATTCTGTGTTTAATGCAGTGATATGTAACCTGAATGCTACAGCATCCTGGCAGACAAGGTTCCTTGGGTGAGTTTGATATCTTTTATTAGACCAACCCAAATGGTTGGAGAATATTTATTAAGCAAGCTTTCGGGTTCAAAAACCCTTCGTCAGGCTAAGGAAGCTGCAGCAGTTGGTGTGTGCTCTTCCTGGATGGAATGCCTATGTCCTTAGACCAACACGGCTAAAACCTACACCCCTACAGCATCCTGGGGCATTATGAAATCTTTCTAAGGGTGCTGTGGGGTGCCATACAATGTTAGCACTGTTAGGTGTGCAAACCTAATTCACAAGATAAATCTAGATGTTTCAAATAGGAATCTATAGTGTTAACAAATAAGTCTACTGGGAGGTACTTTGAGTCTAAAAAGGTTCAGAAGCACTGGTTTAATATTATGCAGTAAATTCATTAATTAGTAAACTGGGTTTTTTGGGGGTGTTGTTTGTTTTTTTTATATCACCTCTGAGGCAGCTATCTCTACTTCAGGCATAGGAAAACTAAGACACAGGTTGGTTTATTTGTGTTGGAGCCAGGATTAGAATGTAGAATTCTTGGCTCCTTGTAATATGCTTTAGCCAACATGTATTGTTGCTCAATATTAAAACTAGAGGTGCACTGATAACATCAGTCTGATACCAAATCGGTACCGATATAAAGAATATTAACTGTATCAGAAATTGGCCTAATGTGGCCGATTAATTTGGGTGATAAATACCCATGCATGTGCGTGGCCACATCACAGCACGTAGGCGGCAAGGAGCACAGCCCAGCAGCTTGGAGAGCTGTGTGCAGCTGGTAAGTGTTGTAGAAGAAAGAGTGGTGGGCGGGTGGGCAGATCAAGGCCCCTGCAGCTCTGCCCCATGGCCCGCCCTGCCTGGGCAGCGCCTGCCCCAGCCCAACTCCTCCCTCACTGCTGGGGCCTTAATCTGCCCCTTCCCTTCCCCCTCCCCTTTCACCGCAACAGACTTACCAGCTGGACGCAGCTCTTCAAGTTGCTGGCTGTGTAATGGAAATCGGATCGGTATTGACTGATGCCTCCTTAAAAATCTGCTATCGGTATTGGTCCCCAAAATCTCTATCAGTGCATCCCTAATTATAACAAATGTTGAAAGTGGAAAAAAAAATATAGGCTGTTTCAGAGTAGAATACCAAAGGCTCTGTTAAAGGTGAGAATTTAGGACTAAAAGTCCAAACTTCTTTAGTACTTGAAATGTATCAGCTGTAACTGTGGTCCCAGATAGTATAATAGATTGTATTGCTGTTGTTAGACCCTCACTGTATATGCACAATACATGACATCATTACAAAAAACAGTGGGACCATACATAGATTTCCTTCACATTGTTTTGTGCTTCAAACTGCTACCTTAAAAAAAATTACACATTGCGTATAACTGGCACGTATTCCTTGGAGACTTTAGCTTATGGCACATGCCATAGACTCCCTGCATTTCCCCAGGCTCCATGTTTGCAACCTTCCCATCACTTCCTCTTTCAGGGACTCTGCAACCCCACTCAATTGTCCTTGCCCCTCCACCCGAGGTTTTGTCCCCATTCTCCCTCACGTTAGGGGTCTTGTGCCACGTTCCTTTTCCCTCTACCTGGCTTTCCTCTTTGCCTCCATTATCCCTTTTTCTGTCAGGGGTTCTCTGTGTCCAGCATTGGGGGGCATATGTATGTCTGCATCCATTCCTCCTTCCCTTTGCCCTCTACCTGCCTTTATTTTAGAATGGCAACATTAACTAGTTTTTGGATCTGCAGAGATGCCTGAAACTGGCTGTCCACCGCAGTTGATGAACTTCCAGTTCTGCACCTCTCCCCGCCCCTCCCCCTTATCCTTCCTCCTCTCTCCCTGTTCTGATTTCCACAAAACCAGTAGGATTCTCTCTGACAATGTCTGTCTGGAGCATTTCCTGAAACGTTCAGATCCCATGTGATGTCCAGGAGACAAATGGAGAAATGTTATGAAGTATAAAGACTTTCAAGCTTGGCTAAAAATAACATGCTTAAAGTAATGCTCAACTGTGTTTGAAATGCCCTTCAAATAACGTACTGGATTTATTCCAACACTAGATCGACTCCCCCCTCAGCAATTTAACAGGAGGTGGGGAAAAAGCCCCTTGTTGCAGTGGAGTACAGGGGTGGGGGGGAGAGGCAGCTGCTGCTACCTCCCCACCACCTCTGCTCCTGCTGTTTCCCCCAGTGCAGCCTCTGCCCCCCACGCTCAACCCTTGCTCCGGTGCTGCAAGCTGTCTCCACACTCCAGCCTGGAGCACAGAGCAAACCCCCAGACCAGCCTGGTAGCATTAGCAATGGCAGCGCCAGCCCTAGTTCTGGGGCTTGGCTGGAGCTGCCGCCCACCACCACTGCTTCTGGGCCTGGCTGGGGCCAGAGCAAGCACGTACTCCACACCCCAGGCCGGGGCAGAGACGGAGCCTGCAGCATTGGAGCAAAGGTAAAGGGGAGGGGGTAGGCTGGGGGGCAGAGGTGGTGGGGGGAAAGACAAGAGGCAAGTTGTGTGTGGGAGCAAGAAGCATGGATCAAGTGGCTTGACCTCCTGCTTCCCTCTACTAACCGTCCCCTGTCCCTTACCACTGCTTTGCCTGCTGCAAGGAAAGATGACTCTCCAATAATTAGATTCTATACATGGAAAATTATAACATTTATAAGTTCCGTATATAAAATCTTATTGGGGAGTCCTCTTAAATTCAGAGCAGAGTTGTCTTGGATTCAAGTAGAGACAGTTGTGTATCCAAATAAGCTTGTAGTATCTCAGCCTCGTGTTTTTCATTTTAATGTTGTAGAGTGCAGTTACAGTGGACGAAAATACCAAGCCAAGGTTATACCCACATGCAGTCAACTACATGCATAGCACAAAAGTTTGCGAGGTTCCTTTCAGTTGTATTTGTTTTTCTATCCTGAGCGCAGGCTGAGAGAGAGTCAGGAGAGTGGAAATGTAAAACATTATTCATCAGGTAAATGGTCTCAGACTTTTTTTTTTTTTCTCTGAAAAAAAATAGGTCTACATTTAAACGCAATAATGAGACATTCATCTTACAGAACTTTTTTTTTCCCCAGGAAGCTTTAGAAGTCCTTGACAAATAAGTTTCCAGAGCCTTATCAACCAAAGTGAACATTGAGGTAGCATGGCCCTCTAATAGGTTTTCAAATGGGATTGAGGGTCACACTACTGACTGTGCTCTAACAGGTTAACATATTAATCTAGTTGATTGCTCTGCTCCACCACCGCTGCACAAAAAAAGCACAGTCTGTATAGTCCTGTAATGTATGTACTTAAAGCATAAGCTGTTTTCAATAGCAGTAAATTGGTGCTGTGATGTGTGTAAGAATTAATGTGGAATATCCTGCTGTGTAGTTCAGCCAGTTAAGAACCACATTGTGCTTAACCCCTTACCAGTGACTGTTGGATTTGCTAGTGAATTTGGGCTTGATGCCAAGAACTCTTAACTTTTCCTCATGAAGGGGTTTAATATGCTTTAGACTTATTTGTCCAAACATCAAATTTGGCTGCAAGAGCCTTTTAAAATAAAATGGTTAAGGCACTAACAAATCGGCTTACCCCTTTAGATGTATGGTGACATTCCATTTAGCCGGGTCTGAATGCAAATAGAAACATTCCCTAAGGATTATATTTGAGCTGCAGTAACTTTATTTTTCCCCCCAATGCACTCATTCACAGTTAGAGCCCTGTGGCAAATCAGCTCTTTTAATTATCTCTGCTGCTTCACATCCATTTTAGAGAACAATATTACATAAACATGGCATAGCAAAAATTCCTTCAACCTAGGTAAATAAGCTTTCTTTTCTTAAAATAATGACCACTATGATAGAGGTTACTAAATAACAAAAAACTGTCTAGACAAGCTAACTGAAATAGCACGGCTGTACAGTGACTTGCCACCTTTAGTCTTTCCAAAACAAACCGGTTCCTCCATCCAATATTTGCTGGGTAGGTGAAGTGGGACATAACTGAGAGAGAGCTGAAAAGACCTCATCTGATGGGAATGAAAATGAATCCTTCACCCAGAAGGGGCACAGTAAGTGAAAAGACCTACCAGCTATCTAACCGTTGTATTATGCAAGAGCCTGAGAAAACAAGTAGTCTTATTTTTCTTACTACCCTGGTCTCTCTTAAGACTGTTTGATAAAGTACTAAAACTTTCTCATAGGTATGAATATTCCAGGTCCATGTCAACTGCCTCTGTTCATCCGGACACTTATTTTTCTAAAAGTCAAGGCGAAGATGCTGTTAGTAGGAGGAATTTCAAAACATCGATACGTGAGGGTGAAGAATCCTAGTTGAAAAAAAAGATATTCCAGTTTTTTTGAGGGTCTGCGTTTAGTCGGTGTTGTTCCATTCTGATGGTGTTAATGAAACTAGTAATGCTTTTGTTCAGTAGATGACATAGTATGACTAAAATGTTAGAAATATCTGCAATGATTTAAACCCCTTCCCACTAAGCTCTAAAGTAGGAAGATTGGGATTACAGTAAACATCCTGGAAGATTGCTGATAACTTCATTCCTGCAAGTGA